CATCATGCACCGCTACTACGAGATAGGAAGACCACGATGACCTTCCTCTAGCTTATCCCTCAAGACGGATATCCGCGCAACTTCCCCGTTGCCCCCTAACCACCTACGTCTCTCTCTACTACGGAGTAACCAACCCCGATAAAGACCTTCCCTTACGCCTACAATTCCAAAAAGACTCCAGCAAAAGACGGTCCGAATAGCAAGCGGAACTAGTACATGTCAAATAGTGCTTGATGTGGGTTGCAGACTAGATGCTCTTCCACCGGCTGCTCTGCTACAGTAACCGGTGCGGCGTGCCCTAGGTTTGAGCTAGCTGCTGGCTGCCTACTGTACGCCTGCTGATCACTACAGATGCGTAAAGGCTTGTTTGGATGTTGAAACAGAGTCTGGAGCTAGAAGAATGCCGGTAGCTTACATGCGTATTCGCTAAGGTGTCTTGGTGTGATGGAGAGTATTCATGCGCAGAGGGAGATGTGCCCTATCAAGACGATGGGGATGGTCACTGAGGATGGTGCTACGGATTGTAGGCGCTGTGTCTCGCGCAGACGCAGCGTAGCAAGAGAGAGAGATCCATTTTGCTGAAGTGAGACTGTGAGACAGTTGAACCTTGGCGGAAGTGGAGAGCAGATGCAGGCAAGATCCTATCGAGTACGAGGAGATAGGCCAAGAATAGAGCCTACGTTGGCTCGTAGGGTTCACAAGGAAGCGTATGCTACGTAGCGCACACCTCAATCTTAGAATACCATCCTAAAGTAGTTTGAACTCGTATTTACATATGCGCACCGTTGATACAAATCCCTCAGGCTTCCTTCTTTGTATGTACGAAAGCGAACAAGGAGAACGTATAGAAGATATGCGAAAGCCACATAGTATCTAGACCTTATTCGTGTCTTGTCTTTCCGTTGACTTTGCCAACTACCAATGCATGTTACTATCTTTCAGGAACTCGTGTCTCGTCGTAACGATCTGAAAAGCTGATACTCTGGCTCCTTCTCGTGCAACTACGCACTGCAGTGGGATGCCACTGTCCTTGCGTGAGGACGGCAGGCCCATCCAGTTGATCTAGAAGCTACTATGCACGGAAACGACTTATGAGCGATCAAAAAGCCTGACAGACCTCACAAAGCTCTTCTTGAATTGATGTCAAAGCTACGAAGAGGCCAAGGGAATAGATTATCCTCAATGAAGTGAAAATAAGCTCTTACCAGATTAGTGGAAGACGGAAAAAGGAACTCATTATCTAAAAGCAAATCAATACGACGACTACATATAGCTAGCATAGTACTACGTTTGTCCGACATGTCTCTGCCGTTGTTGCGTCGGTGTCGTGCTCGTAGTTGTGCATCATTTTCGAAAAAGCCCAAAAAAGCATACTTCATCACCACCATACCTTCCCCTCCCTCCTAGGACATGTACCACACGCAAACAAAAAAGAAAGCCCGACGTGGGGGTCGAACCCACAACCTTGAGATAACCAATCGAGTCTTTAGGACGTGAAAGCTAAGAGTCTCACGCTCTACCGATTGAGCTAGCCGGGCGATTTGATGAAATCTGGTGATTTGATAGAGACTTTGAAAATCATGACGATTCTATACACAGATTTGTGCCACAAGAGCACTACGAAGGTACCGAAAAGATTCTCTTTTGGTTTTGATGTGTCGGTGGTACATCTTGGGCTGCAAAGTGGGGTAGAAGGAAAAAAACTGCAGTGGGCCGAACCACGCCGCAACGAAGCAAGGGAATGCATTGCAACACCAGAACAGCACCAACGATGCTACCCAAAGGCTCTCTTTGAAGACGACAAACAGTTTTGATGGTTGAAGTCCAAGAAAGGAGAAATCGGGGTATACTTGGCTTTGACGCGCATGTATGCTAGTAGGTCCTCTCCTTGCGACTATCTTATAGTTTTTTTATCCCAATATGAGAGGATAGTATCTACGCTTCACGCTGCCTAAGTATCCAAACCCACAAGTTAACTATAACGGCTAAGGTTATGGATACTCCTATCTATATTATGTTTAACAAAATGTGAGTGATATGCGCCACAGATTTTGCTGTCCCGCGGTGAACGAAACAAAGGACCATTATCGTAGTAGCTACATCTCACTTGATTCTTGCATCCCGCGAGGCGGAGAGGATCAGGATTAGATCGGGCAACTCGAAGTGACCATTGCCCTTAACGCGACATAGAAGACATTAAGCTATAATATTTACTACTGTATCGATTGCACGCTCGTGATACAAGCTTCGCGTATGTATCGTTGCTAGGCTATTCATTATTACATTATTAATCGAGAGCTAAACGTTTATCAAGCTATCTTTCGCTAACACAACGCCGTCATAAGCAGAGTGGCTGAATCCCATCGTAATATACAATCTATGCGAACGATTAACATCGAAGGTCATACTTGCGAGAGTGCAGTCCTTGTGTCATGTGATAGATCCAAACGCCCTCTCTAAAACTCATTTCTTGCGCCGCCGCATTCCGTGACCTTTTCGACAGGCCTGAATCCACCAACGAATACCTGTGAAGAAAGTTCACAAGTTCATCCCATCCCAATCACCCTGCGTCGGCCCTCCGAACCGCTCCCGCCGTAGCCTATCATTCTCCTCAATCAACGCATCCCTCTCCTTCTCAATACTCTGAATATACTCAATCGCGCTCGCCAAGATCATCGCCTTACTCGGCTTCGGCTGCCCAACCACTCCCGCCTCCTCGCTCTGCCTCAATATCGGCACCGACTGTCTCAGCCTCTCCAGTTCAGAATTGAGCCCCTCTCGATACTTGCGCTCAACCTGATTATGCGGTAACCGTTTCGAGCGCTGATACTTTAGAGTCGGAGAAGACAGGTCTTGGCTGTCGGTGGTATTGCGGTCCATCTTCGGGCGACCCCGCTTCCTCGTGGGGCGTTTGGGGGTGGATGATTCGGAGGCAGAGGTTGGCGAGGATGGGGATTCGTGCTTTAGCATGTGTGGGGAGAGAGATGGCGATATGAGCGGTTGCGGCGCGTCTCCACCGTGCGACGAGGGTTGCGACGTTGTGCTTGTGGGGGAGATACAGTCTGGTTCGTTCGGTTGTGGTGGCCTTGTGTTTGTAGTGAAGTCGAACGGGTATGGCTCGAATGGACTGGGGTGTATGGTGTTGAATGTTTGCGTCATAGTCTGGTTATTGTCCCTGGTCGATATGCTGGCCCTGAAAAACGTCGCATTGCAATCTTCTTCTGACTTCGATGTCGTACCGGATACACTCTGAACGGATGTGAGGGTTTGATTGAAGAATGTATCGGAGTCGAAGAAGGTATTCAGCGAGTCGTCTGGGCCTGGCCCGCCAAGGTAAGGATTGTCGAAGTAGTTGGTGTACGGCATGGTGTTCTGAGGTGGAGAATGTTCGGTACGTTCGGTCTTGGTTCCATGCGCATCCCTCCGGAAGTTCATTCAGACTGTGTCGACTCGTGTATCGGTGGACGTGTTCGTTGCTGTTTGGCGGTTGATGTATCGGTGTCGCTGGGAATGACGAAAGGCCTGGTATTATAAGAATACGAGGACGTAATTGTATCGACGATTCGAGAACTGCACACCCAACAGAGTAGGTAATAGGTCCTCGTGACCTGCTGGGAATCCACCACTAAGGTTGATCAGGTTCCGGTGTAGTGGCTCAGTACAGTCAAGATGCTTCCAGTAGCTGTACGGTAAACCCAAAATCGCAAGTTAGTTGTGGATCCGTCCTACCCTCAACCGTTATTGGCACGGCTAAGTAAGCCTTCCGCTTCCGCGAGTTTCACTGCAACGTCTGCTACTCATTCAAAGGGTCGAGTTTTTACAATGACTGCAAACGTCGAACGATAAGCACCTCATCGGCACTGTCCGGTAGGAGCAGCATCTCGTGTAGTCCCGGGACGAGCTCCACTACGCCGAAAGTCGGTTTCCGCACATGCTCCGATCCCGAGTTTCCGATATGACTCTGAAGCCGCATTGCAAAGACCGCGATGTTCGTTTACGTGCGTACAACCTAATTTACCCTGTTGATCCCGGCAAGGCCGCGAATTGCGGTCTCAGAATGTACTCAACAAAGCCATGATGCAGGATCTGATTTGCTTTCGCTTGTATGCGGCTAACTCGGGACGGATCGTATAAACTATCTGCGATGCCGGATGGCTTTCTCACGGTATGATTACTGGCTTGCTTTATTAGCAGATGTTTTGCGGTACCGATCACAAGGTAAATGTCAGTAAAAGATCCCTAAAGCCTCATTTTTGCCAACGGTAGATTCCCGGATGCATGCGGATGGAACGCGTTGCATCTAGATACAACAAGTGAGTTCGCTTACTCCTTGGTATTGCATCCTTCCAAGGTTGTGCTGCCCGATGATGTTAGAGGTTTTCTCCGAGCACCTGTCATGGTACCATATCTAAGCATCGGCGTGCGCCAACGGGCATCTCCGCTGTTGTAGCAATCGAGGGGAATAGCCCGGGCTTAACGAGAGAGGCTGAAAAAGTCGAGAAGTATTTGCGGTGCACAGTGCGCATGTGGCTATGTTGAGGTTGGTGCAAGGCAGCTCGTGAGAGTGGCGTGATACTTGTCGGCAAGGCCCGAAGTAGTAAGTGTAGCCGGCAAGGATAGGTATCCATAACTCGTGGCCATCGCGTTTTTCTGCGACCTTGGCGAGTGCAGCAAAGAATAGTAATCCTGCACGAGGCTCCTCCACAGAAGCCAAAGACGTGTACAGACTGACAGCGAGCCGCAGTATTATCTCGCAGCCGAAGTTGTAGCTACCATGGCAAACGAAGAGTACCTAGTTATGGTAGCAGTGTTTGAGCATCACCACTAATAATAGACATGGGACATAGTGGATGTTTCTTCCATTCATGAAGGTAATGTTGCTGCCTACAAACATGGTGTGTTTGTTGATTGTAGACACTCGCGATTTATTGAGGTCACAGCTTCTCAACCCCGCTACCCCTCAACGCGCGGACTGAAGCATGAAGCTCCCTGCCTCCGCCATGACAACACCAACAACATCAACAACGCCTAATCGCGTCAAGACACGCTTCCTCATCATCTCAGATACGCATACTAGAACTCCTCTCGATAACATCGCAGATGATGAGGCTGCCTTCCGCCCGCCACTGCCCCCGGCAGATGTGCTTCTTCACTGCGGCGACCTGACCATGATCGGTCATCTGGACGAATATGAAAAGACTCTGGACATGCTGGAAAGCATAGATGCGGGCTTGAAGCTTGTCATAGCTGGAAATCACGACATTACTCTGGATGAGGAGTATTACGCCCGAAAAGGCGAATACATGCACAGAGGAGACAGATACGACAAAGACCTACCCGCCAAAGCTCGAGAGATGTGGAAGGGCGAGCGGGCGCGGAAAGCAGGTGTAACGTACCTGGAAGAAGGAACGCATACATTCCAGCTTCAAAACGGGGCCAACCTGAGGGTATGCACATTGCTAGACAGTCGACAATTCCATCTGAAGCTAACAACCCCAGGTCTACGCGTCCCCCTACCAACCAGAATTCTGCGACTACGCCTTCCCCTACTTCCGCAACGAAGACCGCTACAACCCTCCCCATCAATGCACACCAAACGCCAAACCCATCGCCGAGAACCCCGTCCCAGACTTTCCCAACATCGATATCATGATGACCCACGGACCGCCCATGGGCGTCATGGACGCGACAACATCAGGACAGCACGTCGGCTGCGACCACCTACTGCGCGCTGCTCGACGCTGCAAACCCCGGCTTCATTGCTTTGGGCATATACATGAGGGATGGGGCGCGCAGAAAGTGCGGTGGAACAACAAGGGGGGGCTGGATGTCAGGATTGAAGAGCATATCGAAGATGTGGAGAGTGTGGATGTTGATCAGGATGCGGCTAGGGAGAGGAGGGCGGCTACTGTTGATATCGGCGAGGGTAGCGATACGGCGGTTGAGTTTGGGCGGGAGACTTTGATGGTTAATGCGAGTATTATGAGCGTGACGTATAAGCCGTGGAACGCGCCTTGGCTTGTGGATCTGGACCTCGAAATGGCCAGTTGATCCAGCATGGCTGTACGGAGTAGACAGGAAAAAGCTTCAGAAGTATGCATACATCACGAAGAATGAGTAGGCATCAATGGGACGAACCAACTACTGTCATGCGCGATATCGCCATTGTGGTTTCCAGACAGCGATTGATCTATAGCAGCCAGCTCAAACGTCGTACTGCGATGACCTCTTCGCGTTCCCTCTAAAGTTCGTCATTGTATCTCACAGGTCTCACACAGGCCGCGCAGTCTTGAGTCGCAGCTAGCGAAGCCATATGCATGCATTTCTTATGCAGCGTAGACATGTCAACTATCGTACATCGTAAAGCTCATCTTCGAGCAAGGTAGAAGTATCGTGAAAAGAACAAGGTAACAAAAGAAGCGCGCTTAGTTACCAACCTGAATCGCGTAGCCACCATCGACAGTGACAGTCTGACCATTGAGGTACTGACAGCCAACAGCAAACAAAATCGCCGCAGCCATGTCCTGATCCTTACCCGGCCTCTGCGCAGGAAGACCCTCCTTATGCTCCTTCGGCATCTCACTCTTCTGGTTATCATCCCTGCTCTCCTGGGTGGTCATCTCCGAAGGGAACACACCGGGTGCGATGGAGTTAACTCTAACCTTGATCCCGTTCTTCGCAATCTCAGACGCGAGCAACTTGTTGAGGTGTATCGCAGCGCCTTTGCTGGAGTTGTATGCAAAGTGGCCTTGCGAAATCTTGATGTGACCGGAGATGGAGGAGATGTTGATGATGGTACCGGAGTAGCCGGGGTGTGTCTCGGTGGACTTTTGGAGCAGAGGCAGGAAGGCTGTGGACATGAGGAAGGGGCCGACGACGTTGGTTTGGTAGACGTCTAGCCATTCTTGCTCGGTTGTGCCGTCGAAGAGCTTGGAGACGAGGTCTTCGGCGGAGCCTTTTACTTCGGTCTTACCGGGGGCGATGCCGGCGTTGTTGACTGGGGGTGTTAGTTGGCGTTGCACAAGATAGTAATGGGTGGTGGAGAGCTTACCGAGGACGCAGAGGCACTTCTCTTTTGACTCAATCTCCTTCTTGATCTTGCTGTGAGGTGATTAGTACTCCGTTCTCCATCAAACATCGTTGGCAACGTACGATACACCGTCCTTGGTGCTGCAGTCTCCGACGATGGGGATGATCTAGCGACTGTTAGATTATATCCCTCATAAATTCACCGTGTCGAAGACTTACCTGTCCTGCAATGTTCTGGCCATGCACCTCAACAACCTTCTCGAGCTTCTCCTCCGTCCGTCCAACAATGTAAACCTTAGCACCATTGACAGCAAGCGTCTGTGTGATCATGAGACCAATCCCAGAGCCACCACCAGTAACGAGAACGACCTTGTCCTTGACATCAAAGACCTGGCCCATCTGGAGTTCGGCGTTGTTGGTAGGAGCCATGTTTGCGTAGTTGCGCTGTTGATTCTGCGGTTGGATTTGATTTGTGATTTGTTTCGTGCGCTCAATTGATTGAATGCGATTTGGAAGTGCAGAGAATGAAGAGGGGAAATTTCGCGTCGCAGAAGTCGTGATATAGCGGGTAAACGGTCTGACGTCACGGTATGAGCACCGCGTTGCAAAGCGCGTCAATGTGACGTGTGGGATTTTGAGCGACATGGCGAAAACGAAATTTCGGAATCAAAAGACCAGAAATTAAGTGGAACAAATGAAAGGAAAATCTGAGTTCGACTGAGGGGTATGCACGCAGAATCGCGATTCAAACGCGTTGAAGAGGGTTGGGAATGATGCAGGTCATGATTGCATCACTGTGGTGCGGGAGATCGACCCGCACGCGGTGTCACGTTTTTCCCTATCTTCTTGACATAGTGGAAGTCTCCATCGACACATTATGTTTAAAGGGCGTGATTCTATGAGTTATACAGCATCGAAAAACGATCGCGGGGTACTCTATCAATCTCAAGTCAGTTCTATTCTGCAATACCACTGAAGATGCTGGTACTTATTAATCGTACACATTCTACATGAGCAACACAGCTCTCAGCATATGCTCAAGCTGCTCGAGAGATGAGACACTAAACTGAAAGAATATCGAAGCTGGAATACTGAAAGTTTTAGTAAAAAGGATTGAGGTTGAGGTGTCTATCATAAAGAAGTCTTGGTGATGGGTCAACAGTCGATTTTTTTTCATGCATATTATACTTCCCACCTAGTATTCCACATCTCAATCCAAGCGTCCTCCATATCCCATATTTATTCGGTCGCAGGTGCCTTAAGTACCTCATCAAGCCTAACCACCGTTGCCGAAAACGGCGTATGCAACCCCTCCGCCCTACCATCATAAGTCTCGCCCCCATAGACCAACAAATGATTCGGCCTCTTCGCGAAAATCTGAATAGCCCGCGAGTATACCGCACCAGCAGGCGTCATGTGTTCCTCCCACTTATCAATCGCACCGCCCGCGGAATTCGTGTATACTTGGCGCCTATCCGCATCACTCACTATAATCGTGCCGTTGGGGCCGCCGAGCGGGGACCAGACAACGTAGGGGGATGCGTTTGGCACTGTGCTGTTGTTCACGACGATGGGTCTACCGACGGAGTTGCGGAAGTTTGTGGGCTCATCGGCCATGACGTAGTAGACGGGGTAGTTTTGGCCGTAGGAAGAGGAGTTTCCAACGGGGAGTTCGTGCACCAGGATCCATTGGTCGAGCGGTGGGATGTAGGCTACGACTGTCATGCCAGGGCGCGCGAGGTATTCGTCGTAGACAACGTCGTTGACGACGGGGCCCCAGGTTTTCAGGTCGGAGGAGGTTTGGTGGGCGAGCTTTTGGCCGTGGAGGGGGTCGCGTTGGTCCGAGTAGTAGGCTATTAGTTCGCCTTTGTATTGGCTGCGTGGGGTGTTAGTATCGGTGTTCGTCTGAGGATGGGAACATTTGCGGCGACTCACAGAAAGTAAGGTTCCCAAATAGGGTCTGCACCATTCGTAGTATTCGGGCGTCCACCCTCAGCGACATGGCTTACGAACTCCCAAGTCCGCGCTCCATCCGTGCTGGCGTAGAGGTCGATGCGAGTTCCGTTGTTGCTCCAGCTGTTTCCTCCACCCAGAATCGTTCCAGCTTCGTAGCCACCCATTGGCTCTGTCAATTCGGTCAACGCGGGCTGGGCGCTGAAACCCCATCCATTGACCGTGTCGTGTAGGTCAGAGATATGTTCCCAAGACGCGCCGCCATCTTTCGACTCGAAGATAGGGAAGTAGTTTGGGTTGTGGCCGGAGAGGGAGGCGGTGGCTATGATGGTTCCATCTTGGAGTTCGGTGTAGCGGGGGTACGTGATTGATTCGTTGCCGGTGGTTTGGTAGATGGTGTTGTTTGTGAAGAACCCCCAGGGTTGCGGGGCGGAGCTGTTGCAGGATGGTGGGTATGGGTGGGCTATAGCTGTGCTTGTTAGGGCCGCTGTGGCCGCTAGGATCTTGAACAACATCCTGAAACACCTTCCAATTGCGGTACCAGGAGAGACGTTTGATTGATGCTGGGGTTCAATCGATCGATCGTGCCTTCAGCTTAAGTAGCTACACTTCATCGTTGACGCCACAGGCTCATCTCTTCCTTCGGCTACAGATGCGCGTCATCACCTTCGACAAAGCTTACCCTCAAGAAGCTATGCGTAGTTCATCGTTGGTACGAGCAGTGGGGATTATACCCGGCGGGCCGTCGATCATCTTGTCGGTTCCCCATGGGGCCTTTTTTGCCGGTGGATGAAGGTCGTACGTCCTCACCTTGCTTGCCAGCTGCTGCTCTGCATGAGTCTTTTCCGTGAGGGGTATACAGTGTTTGTCAGGATTTGGCGGTGTCTCGACGGGTAAGTCGGGTGTGGAGTTGCTGTACATGCTCCGGCTATGTTCGTCGGTTGATGAGCGTGCCTAAACTTGTGAAGGGAGCTCAACAACTGTGTTCATAACTGTCAGAGTTTTGGAAGTTTTCAGTTGTCGTGGGTGACTGAAACATCATGGAAGCTTCTGTGGAGTTGCAATCAGTATAACTGTTGTCTCTTCTTCGGATGTTACAGCCACCAATCGGACAAAACTGAGCATGTGATGGCCTCCTCCAGGTTTCCTGACACGGCGTACTCTACTCAAGGGGAAGGTTGTATCGAGCTCTGGGGCTAAAGTAAAAGTTTGGGTGCTGCAAGTGCAAACAGCCGCGGCTCTTAAGTCTTTCTTCCACGAACCTCATGAAGGATCGGAAAGTGGAGATATTGCTGCATGAATAGCAACACATGCAAGACTCCGAATCTGGCAACGATTTTCTCAAGCAGTCCAACAGTCGGTTAGCATATCCGAGCGACATGATGGCGTAAGTCGGCGCTCTGCAGCGTCTTAGGTAAGTGTGTACCCCATGGGGTCTGCTCGTCACCTTGCATGATGCAGCGGTGCTCCACAGAAGGATGTCACCTGTTAAGTTTCCGAACAAGTGCCGTAGATTTCTTCTTCTTGGCGAGTCTCTTCTCCTTGGCATCATATACTTGAAGTGCCAGGAGACGGTGAAAATGCGACCTGGACTGTATCGATTGGGCGTAGAATCAGAAGCAAGGGGAATGACTCTCTCGAGGTTGTATAGAAGTCTTGGTGTTCTCGTACGGCAGTTGGAATGGGTTATAGCTCCGTAGTATACCAAGAGATCGACTGATGAAGTCGCAAGTATGAGACTTATGGTGAGGTTGAAGGTGAAATGCGAAAATGTACTTAAGCGTCCGCTGCGGGACCGAAGGAAGGCCATCGCAGCCTTCAAGCCTAGGGTTCCATGACAATGTTCCGTCCAACCTCTTTCTTCGCGCTTGGCGCTCTATTGTTCCTCGCACTCCTCGATCAGGCTACAGCTGTCACAGCGGGCTGTGGCAAGGCGCCAAGGCTGACCAACGGCGTCCAGAGGGTTACGGTGAACGGCAAGCAACGTCAGTGGACGTTGCGAATCCCCAACAACTACGACAACTCCCACCCATACAAGTTCATCTTCGGTCTCCATTGGCTCAATGGCGACATGACATCCGTTTCGGGCGGTAACGCGCCATACTACGGCCTTGCGGCTTTGGCAAACGAGACTGCCATCTTCGTCGCACCCGATGGTATCAACAAGGGGTGGGGAAACACGAACGGCGAAGACATCACCTTCCTCGACACGGTCCGAAAGGCAGTTGAGGATGATCTATGCGTGGACGAGACGCAACGTTTCTCTCTCGGTTTTTCCTACGGTGGCGCTATGAGCTTCAGTCTGGCCTGCAGTCGTGCAAACGAGTACCGCGCCATCGCCGTCCTCTCTGGTGCAACTCTTTCAGGCTGCAATGGCGGAAACACACCCATTGCGTACTACGGCCAGCACGGCGTTAAGGACAGCGTCCTACCCATCGCCATGGGAAGAGAGATCAGGGACCGTTTCGTGAGGCTGAACGGATGCCAACAGAAGAATGCACCAGAGCCCGCCAGAAACAGCAGACAGCGCATCAAGACGGTGTACGATGGGTGCAAGTACCCGACGCAGTACACTGCTTTCGACGGTGACCATGTTGCGCTTCCTGGAGATGCGGGTAACGATGTTGGACCACAGAGCTTCACGCCCAAGGAGGTTTGGAGCTTCTTTTCTCAATTCTGAGTGGTGTGAGTCGTTGTAGTGGGTCGATGGTGCGTGCCTTGGGGGATCAGATGGTGATGGCCGGCGGATGTGGCCGACAGGGGAAGGATAAATCGGTATAGCGACATTTGTATATATTCCATTGGCAGTATGAGAGGGACGCAATGAAATAAGCCATTGGTGATTTAGAGATGTGCAGTAGTAGCAGCTGTGACGTTGAGACAGAATGCTGACACGTTTTCACGCTATATTCTTACGTCCGAGATGTTAGGCCGAGAGGGTATCGTCGAAGACTTGGCAGGCGGTTGAGTTGAGAGCGGATGCGGAGGGATGTGTGAGGGGCCAAAAGGACCGCACGTGAAGAGGCGCCGCGCTAACCGGCTCCTTCCCCACCAACGCGAATGTCAACACTAACCAGTCGCGTCTCATCTCCACCACAACGTCATGGTAAGTATCAGCAATCTACTATTGCGTGCCCCGACTAATGATAGCCAGGCGCCTACGCGCTCCAAGGATGCGAAAGCGACGAAAAAACGAGGCCGACCTCCGGGCAGTCGCAATTCTGGCGCTGTCGTGAAGGCCAAGTCGAAGCCCGCACCAAAGCCGGCAGCAGCGAAGAAGGGCAGACCGAAGAAGAGACCAGCCCAGGAAGAAGTCGAAGATGAGCTCTCAATCACTGAACCCGCGCCAAAGCAACCCTCGAGACCCCGCAAGCGCAAGTCGGACGAAGTCGCTGAACCTGACGCCGAATCGCGCAAACAGTACGCGCAGCTGGAGAACAAGAAGAAGAGAATACCGCAGGAGCAAATAGACTCATGGCCACAAGTGCCGCCTCAGGTCTTGGAGCAGATCACGACGGTGATACGCAATGCGAAGAAGGACATCGCCGAGACGCAGCGAGACGAGCGCAGGATCATGGCCGCACACAACACACTCAACCCCCTCGTACGCAAGCTAGCGCGCCAACTAGCAGAGTCGCGGATACCCCCACAGGCCAAAGACATCCATTTCAACATCGACAAGCTCACTGAGCGCAATGCCCAAGTGTCGCGAGAGGTCACGACAGCCCGGCATTCCAAGCAGCTGCTCAGCGAGCAGGTCAAGATTGCCCAGCACTTGCTGAAGAAGGACGAAGATAACCTGGACGATCTGAAGAAGAACGTCAAGAATTGGAGAGCCGAGTGGAAGCACCAGAAGAAGCATGGACGGGTGCGTGTCTGTCTATTCTAGTCGAGCTGAACGTGTTGCTAACCTGCTGTAGATCCACCCCTTACTCAAAGACGAAGGCAATGCGACAGCCCACGGCGACGGCCCTGACGATATCCGTCTGAAGCGATCAGAACCAGTAGCTTCATCCCTTCTCGATGCGCCAGATGACGACCTTGCGCCAGTGCTTGCCCAATTGCGACGTAGCCTGGAGAGCATGCAGGGCAACCATACACAGGTCGAGGGTCTCAATATGACGGTCAACGATGCGCAAGCAGTACTAGACGACGTCTTGTTCAGGCACGCTGGCGCAGTGCAATATGCTGCCATACAAAATATCGATATGCAGGTCCCATGATGACTTTTGTTCTTTCTATAGCCACGCATGGCTCGGCGCATGGATCGGGCTCTGGGCAGGTGTGGTGAATACGGTACTGGGTTCGATATTAAGGCAGGTGTATGGCGTTGGAGGGCATCGACGTAATTTCAATACTCTAAAGGAAGCTTTGTGCGAGGCATGGGCTAGGTTAGCAAGGCCCGTACTAGGCTGTCCAGCGTGGCGGCTGGCTGGAGTGGGCAGCGAGACCATTCAAGTCTATCAAAATACTCCCAGTTTTAGAACTGCGTTCCGACGGTATGGTCTTCGGAATGCGCGCGTTCGCGGCCGTCTCCATCATGTAGTGTAGCAATGCGGCGTGATTGGCTCCAGCAGGGCTCCAGCAGGGCTCCAGCAGGGCTTCGGCAGAGCGGAGCCACTTCTGCAGCTGCAGCCCTTCTATGCGAAACTTGTGCAAACTACAACATGTCAAGCGCCGCTATCTGAATGCCCCGTCGAGATCACCCGCATTGCAGCGGGAAGCTGTCAAAATCTCCACTAGGAGGGCGGGCGGTGCACTTCTCCGCGATTGGGCCTGCGTTTCTCCGGGTTCTTCCTTCCAAGGTTCGGTTCGGCAAAGCACGCGACCGCGAACATTCACCTGTCCCATCGTGCTTCTGAAACCACCTCTCCGCCACTCGTCTGCCGCGACTACGGGCCCTGCTGTGCCACCAAAGAACGTGTTCCTGGCGCATCTCGACCTTCTGCGCACTTTTCGATGCTCGAGTGCGTGACGAGACCCCTGTCGTAACACACATGAACCTGCGCGTCTCCAAGAAAAGCACCCGGCTCTGACACCGACCCACTACCCACACTTGATGTCGGAAGCTGCACGACGATCAAATGGAGCTTCGCCAGTCAAAATGACGGAACCACTAGAAGCCGACAAGGACAAAGTCTCTCCAGAAAACACTGCGCCCAAGACCCATTCACCCTCCAAGAGCAAGCCCGATGCGACAAATTCCGAGGCGTCCGCAAAACCGCCAAAAAAGCGTAGAAAAGTAAATCATGGTAAGCCATCGATGCTGTGTACCCACAAATGCATCCGCAACCCTGCTAACCTATATGCCTTCCTTCAGCATGCATCTACTGCAGACGTTCGGTGAGCCACAGCCAATTCCCCAGCATTCGATACATGCAATGTATTTCCATGTAAGACAATTGTTACTGCTTGCTGACACACACCAATCAGCACATGACCTGTGACCTCGTAAGTGCACTGAGTATGGCCTCGTCTGTTCGCAAGCTGATTGAGCCCGCCCAATGTAGGAGCGACCATGCACACGCTGTGTCAAGCGCAATATTGGACACCTATGTCACGATGAGCCGCGTGAGGGTGTTAAAAAGTCCAAGTCCGAGCCAGACAATGGCGATGGACAGAGTCAGCCCACTCAGGTCGAATCAACTCCCTCCGATGCCGCATCGACGGCCGCTCCTCCAGTTCCGGACGCAGCGCTAAACCTGGCGCCTCACCCAGTACCTCCGAATAGGGATGCCAGCACTACGTCAGGTACCCAGCCTGACCCCGTATCCGCGCCACAATTACCTGCCCTGACAGCTGGTAGTCAGCCTTGTAAGTTACACTTCTTCTCAGCTCCCCGTCGTAGTCGTCACTGACGCGCCGGAAGTCTCGGGCTACGATGGTTTGCTGTCCTCGTCTCAGAACAACCTTCAGGACATGCAGTTCCACCCCTCATATATGTTCAACACCTCCGAAGTCAGTAATGAGTATAACCTCCTCAACGACTTTCTCAACAACAGCCTCATGGACGACGGTGCATTTTACGGAGGCAATGACTTCCACAGCCTCTTTTCCGATGCCTCACTCATGAATCAGATGGGCTCTCTGAACAGCAACTCTGCCTTTACCTCGAACGCGTCAAGACCGTCGCAATTACTTCCACCTCCCGCGCAAAGTGTCGGTGGTCATGCTGCATCACGGCAAACAGGCGGCGTCCCTACGGACAAGGCAAGAGAGAGATACCTTGTCACGGCCGCTGATCCCGCTGGATCAGACAGTCCTGAAGAGCGCATGAACAAGCTACTCAAGGCCAAGGTCGACGCAGGGCTGCTGAAGCCCTTCAATTATGTCAAGGGTTATGCACGACTAAACCAGTACATGGAGCAGAACCTGCAACAGGCATCTCGCATCCGAGTACTGCGCCAACTGGATCGCTTCCGACCCAAGTTTCGAGAGCGCATGCAAAGTCTGACAGATGTGGATCTAGTACGCATCGAGATGTGGTTTGACAAGAGCTTGATGGAGTACGACCGCGTCTTCGCAAGCATGGCTATACCTGCATGTTGCTGGAGAAGAACAGGCGAGATATATCGTGGCAACAAAGAGATGGCGCGACTCATCCACGTACCGATGTCGAAGTTGCGAGACGTAAGCGCCAGACCACGATCACTTGCAATATGACTCCAGCTAATAGGATGTAGGGTAATATCGCTCTGCACGAGATCATCGCTGAGCCGTCACTGGTTTCCTACTGGGAGAAATTCGGCGCCATCGCATTCGACCATACTCAGAAAGCCATCCTGACGAGCTGCTCCTTGAAGAACCCCGACCCGCACTCTAAGGATCCTGAGATACGTTGCTGCTTTTCTTTTACCGTCAAGCGCGATGCTTGGAATATGTAAGTGGAAGTGGATATTGCCTCCGAGTTTAGACTGACTGTTGTAGACCGGCGTTGATCGTGGGCAACTTCCTTCCCATCACCGAGGCCACATCGGGGTCGCTACCGGCGTCTTGAGGCCGTCGAAGCCGCACCACAAATCACAACAATGACTTCATTAATCTTCTACAAGTTCAAGAATTCAAGGGAAAGCGAGCGCATTATCTTCAACGGCCTCGATTTGAGCGTTTTCGAGCTCAAAGAGTAGACGCTCTTGCGGAAATTTCGCTTGGAACGAGTGTTTTTGTAAAACTTTGCTGTACAATGGGTTGGGAACAGGGTAATGTCTGGCTTGGGTGTCTCAAAACATTGTTCAGAAAGGGTGCGCACATCACTTGGGAGGGTAATTGCAAGTGCGGCGATATCCACAGGTTTACTTCAACATGTACATCCTTTTGCCTGCCTTCATATCTTCATTCATTCGATCCTCCGTCTTGCATCCAGTTTTCCTCGCGTCCACGGGTATGCTCTTTCCTGATCTCATGCACGTGCTTGTGGAGCCACCTTCCAGAGTGGCAGTCGCAATCCGACATCTCACACCTTCAAGCTGCACATTAACCAACGTCGTTCGCATTGCCATCTGACACGCATCATGCCGCTCGCGCAGTCAGCAGCCAAACTGGAGCGAGAGAAGAAGCTGAAGGCAGTCCTCAGTGAGTGCACTACCTCGCGCCTGCCCTACGCGTGACACTTACCTTCCCACCAGCATTCGCCTCGACACTCAGCAAGCGCATAGAAGCCGGCAACCATGCGACGATCAT